ACATGTATGTATAAATATATACCTGCTCTATAGTGAGGGGTGAGCAGATCTCCTCTCCTCGGAGTATTATGGATCGCTGAGTCAGGACTTCAGAAAGCTGGAAGGCGTCCAGGCCCAGCAGCTCGCTGGCGTTAGTGACCTCTGTGAACACGATGGAAGGTGTTCAACACTTCACTAATCTTTCTGTCTCCGATTAGCACTTCACGTCTTCGCTCCATGTCTTCACACAGCTAACGTTCGTATAAAAGACCCTGTGAGGTTGGACTGAAACATTGTGTCAAATCGTACTTTATATCCATCCACCCCAAGGGGTCTGCAAACTGTGGCTCTTTTAGCCTCTTTCTATTGGCTCTCTTGCACGATCATAGGTCGATTAAAAAAAACATGGCCGACACATTCATTTAACCAGTATTTCAGGTAACTAGCACATAGTAACGTTTTAGAAAAATCAAGTTTAAAACTTTTCCCTGGCTGGGCGCTGACCTTGCTTGGTGAGGATCTGGGCTCCTCCCGCGGTCATGAACTCAATGTTGCCCAGCTGTAAGACTCCTGACAGCAGCTTGAACATGTCTCTGATCTCGTCCTCCGTGAAGTCCAACACTTTCAGAGCCTCCTACATGAGTGGTTCAGAAAAAGATGAGACGAAAAAACTGTAAGAGAACAAGACCATTGGATATGAAAGACAAAATAAAAAATATTTGTAAAACTCTAGTCAGAAAAACCCCAAATTTACAAATAAGACTGGATGAGGTACGTTAAGAATAACCAAGAGAAAGAGGACAAACTGAAAACACATCACTTTGTCCAGTAAAAGTAAAAGAAATTCACTATAGAGAAAGACAGGAGCGGTTTATAACACAAAGAACACCGTCCTCAGTGTCAACTCTTGGCATTGAAATCTAAACTTTACTGACATGAACAAATCGCACCAACCATAACACTGTTATACAGTTCTTTGTCGTTCAGGCTCTTGTCCTTCAGACATCCTGATTGGCTGAGGTAGTGGAAAGATTCAGCAGGGTCTTCCAGGAAGTAGAGACCTGACGGAGGAAACATTTAATGTCAGTGTGACCATAAATGAGACTCATACAACAAACACCCTAGGCTTCAGTGTGGTTTTAATTATTATTTATTATTGTTTAATTTTACTATTCTTACTTTTATGCTCTTTGGTTGCTCCGGCCAGGAGAGCGTAGAAGATGTGGTAGTTTCGTTCTCCGGGGTTTTGTCGTACCACGCGGTTCTACAGCAAAGAAATCAACGTGACAAAATAGAATCGTCACTCACTACATTAGACAGTTAGATCAGCAGCACTAGGATTAATGTTGACATTCCCTGACATACAGACCTTCTCCAGTAAATCTGAAATGTAGGGAGTCAAGGAAACAGAAATTTAAAATCATATTTAATCATACGTGTATATTGGATATCCTAAAAGTATTGTCTTTTGGCGGTTGTAATGATTGAGTAGACGTCAGGATACAGTCGATGACACAGCCGCCCTGGATGTTTCCACTCTCTGAGAAGTGAAGCTGGATGAACTTCCCAAAACGACTGGAGTTGTTGTTGTAAACAGTCTTCGCATTTCCAAAGGCCTCCATGATGGGACTGCAGGTAGAACACAAAATATGGATCCATATCTGAGCAAACATTCACTGAATCTTTTGATATACACCAGGTTTTGTCTTTGATTCCATTTCATAGACAAGAGTATCCAGTTCCCTGTTTTTATTTTGATCTGTTTATTTTGATTGTATTTTTGTTGATTTCAACAAAGAAAAACCTCATAAAAAGTTGTCAGGGTTTTTATAAAAAATTGAACTTTTACCCTTGAAGGTTGGATTGAACTGCCAAAATATCATGTCAGGTAGAGAACTTGACTGCTTTGTATTTGGCTAACCCTACTGCAGGGTTAACCAACCTGAGTTTAACATCAGTTCAATCACTTTCTGCAAGAATACATTTGTTTAAGACTGTGTGTGGTTTTTTTAAATAAAATTTGAATATATATATATATAATTATATAAAGAAAAAAAAAGAACAGTAATTTGTGTCAGTACATTTTACATGACCCCATTTGACTTCCATGTGACCCCATGTGGGGCCACTACCCCAAGGTTGAACAACAGTGCCCTACAGCAAGAAAACTTTTTGGAATTTCTTTAACAACGTCCAACCAGCTACCTTAATTATCACTGCTACATCTGAGTCATCTCTGAGACCTCACATTTGTTAGTGTGCTCTGAAGACATTTATGGGTTTTTTTTTCTATATATGTATTTCTATAGCTAATGTGACAGTTGAACAGACTGTTGGGGTTTTGATTTTTTCCCCATTCTTTCAACCTCTTCAACAGGATTTATCTGACTGACACATCAAAGGCTACTCACGACAGTTCCACTGCCAAAGCACCACATCTTTTTAACAGTAAATGCTACACATGTGCATTCATCTGGTTCTCTGCTCTGCAAACGTGCACGAGATTAGATCTATCTTCATTCACACTGAGCTGGGAGAAGACGTTTCCTCTCAGGTGGTCTGGAGCTCTGTGACATCCAGAGCAGCTGATAAATGACGTCAAACATGAGGACGTGTCTCCGTACCTGCTCTGGACGATGGCCTGTTCCACACGTGTGGTCTTCTCTGAGGCAGGAGAACCAGATGATTTCTGGCTCATCACTGACAGGAACTGCAGCAGCAGTTTGGTGCTCTCGGTCTTCCCTGCACCTGATTCACCGCTGCAGTACACACACAACACGACGACACACACAACCAACATTTAATAAACAAACAAAAACCCAGAAAACAGCCTGACCTTCTCTGACATTTCCCTATCTCACTCTGCCTCCTCTGTGTCATTGACATTGAGGTTTGTTCTGTCCAGTCAGTCCTACGTGATCTTATTATGGACACCACCTGAGGAAACGACAGTGTAACTGGGAACAAGACAAGACGTTTGAGATCACATTTAATCAGATAAAACCACAGAGCAGTTGCCAACACCTAAAGTATTGTCTTCTATCTGTTTAATCCTGACTGACTAGCTGTTAGCCGTTTTGGGTATTTTTCCTCATACTGAACGAGATGTTTTACTCTAATATTTTACTATATTATTACCTCACATCACATTTTTATCACAGTTTTATAGCCTTTAAACTAGCTTTCAGATGTTCAGTTTACCTTGATGCAGTATTATACATTTTGGCAATGTTTTTACCTCTTACGTAGCTACATAGCTAGCATTAGCCCACAGAACTAGCCAAAAACCATTTTACGGCTATTTCTTAGCGATGGTTTATTTTTTCTTTACCCTTTTCTTGTTATTAGTTTAGGTAATTGTTTATTATTAATACTCATTTAAGTATGTGTCTTACTTAATGTTTTGGTCACTTTGTCTACTTACCAAAACCATTCTGTTAACTAACAGTTATCCTGTGATTCTACAGCGGTATCTCTGTCCAGCATGTGATTCGCTGACATTGATGAAACAACATAAGAGTTTTGTTTACTACGGAGGCCTAACTGGACATTACATAGAAAATTAGAAATAGAACATTATTAAGACGTTTTGTCTTTTTGTTACATCTTTTACCACATCCTTGATAGGACACATCGTCTTGAACCGTGTGTTTGTTCAACCCACCTGATGAGGACGCACTGACTGTCGTGGCGTTTCCAGATGCAGCGGTAGCATTCGTTGGCCACAGCGAATATGTGCGGTGGCAGTTCACCTAGATGATGCTTGGAATACAGCTCTACTCTCTCCAGGTCGTACAGACCTGAGATCTGCTTGTAGGGGTTGACTGCGGCCAAGATGCTGCCGATATTAGTCTGAAAAAAAACAAAAAACAACCACATCATCAACAACAACAGCATTTTTCTCTTTACTTTTCTCCCCACGTAAATAATATTAATCCAGGATGAAGGCTGAGGGAAAATGGATGAAAAACCTTGAGGTGTTTTTATAAAAAGCAACGGGTCAAATGGATTGAAAGCCAAAAGAGAGATGATAGGTTTTTGTTTTGGACAATTTGTGCTTTAAAGGTCACCTTGTCCTTTCTACAAAGAAAAGAAAATGGAGGTCAGTGTCTACTATAGTGTCATATTACCCTGTCTGTGTAGATAAAACAGGAACGGTCATTATACCGTACGGATGCATGAAGACAGTGACACAGAAACCTGAAATTCTTTTGATCAGCTTATGGGGAATCTGTGTGTATTTATATTCATGTAATAAAATTTCATCATCCACAGATTAGGTCACTCCCCCAAAGACCGTCCACTGATAATCCTCACATTCCAACTGTTCTCGCTTTGTCTGACTTTCACCATAACCAACGTCGACGCATTTAATTTACTCTGAGGTTTGATTACAATCAACTGGTCTCAGTATAAACTCCCTGTCACGTCCGCTCTGATCCCAGGGGAGGACAAACGTACGAGCATCAGCTAATGCAGCCATTCATTTCAGACTGCGACAAGTTGCTCCAGCGTTTCATTTCTGCAGCGGTAATGAGTCAGTTATGATCAAATGTGGTCACATTTATTGTGTTTTACTGTTTGTACGGCTGGTTCAAAGTGTTCAAACGTTGATGAGAAAAGCGCGCGACAGCCTACGCAACACAGTCGCACACACTTACGTAGATGTTGTCCTTCTGATAACGCTGGTACAGGTTGTGCATGATCGCAGCTTCGTGCAGCTCAGCCAGCGCTGACATGTCCTCCACCCCGTCGATGCTGGACTGGTGCATGGCGTACACCCTCTCCCTGTTGACCTCAGCCTGCTGCAAATACAAGACCTGAGGAGACAATGGGGCAGATTCACACTCAATAGAATTATTATCAAGAAGGAAATGGGAATGAGTTGGTCCAATCGCCCAAATGGACCTTCTCCAGGAATTCAGACAAAACTAACTTTTTTTTAATATTGGGACTTCAACTAAACACCACAATTATATAAATCACAAGGATGGTTTTAAATTATTTACGAGGATCAATTTAGTGCAGTTCTAAATCTGGAAATAATTCAATTAAAAAAATAGAATAGCATCTAAAGTCAACAATACAATTACAAAGACAAAAACCCTGAGCATCACGGCCCTTTTACTTCTCACACCTCCTGTCTCATTTATGTCATCCATCGCCATGGCAACTAAAGAAAGGTCTGTGAGAAGAGATGGGTGGGAAACTTGGGTGAGTTTGTGTGAGAGGAGGAAGAAGAAAAAAATAGAACAGAATGACAGAACCGTAGAAGAAGACACAGAGACGGAGCTAAAAGTAGCAGAGAGTCAAAAACCGTCCCAGTTCACAGCTGTGGTTTGGTGTGCTTCTCTGAGAGTGTGAGTGTGTTATTGTGCTGTAACAGTTGTGTCAGATGTCTGCTGATTGACGAGGAGGCCACAGTTGTGACTGCAGGCGTTCTGACCTGCTGTTCATAAATAAGTCTGAACCTTTTCTTACTCTGCTGCTGTGAGCATGAAACGTACGACCACCATCTGTCTGCACATACAGTAAACTGATGCTGAACTCTGAAAGAAACCTGTTTGCCACATGACTCACAAACAAGTGTCTTCTTCTTCTTATATATATATATATATATATATATATATATATATATATATATAATCATCATACTTTTCTTGCCTCCTGCCATTTATTGACCGGTCTAGCTGTCTTTTTTAAGTTTCCATTTTGTTTTTCATTTCTCACCTTTTTCTTCTGCCAAACCCAGTATTTTTAACACTCACACCCACTACCGATGCCCTCCCTCTCACCTCCTCCCCCTCTCTCTGCTCATATTGTTTTGTCAATCTGTCAATCAGGAACACACGGATCACCCCGTGCTAGAACTCTTAGTCATCGACTTAATGTGGAAATGGCTGTAATTTAAGGTTCACTGAAGAGCTTTTTCAATCACAACAGTAATCAGAGTCTGTTTTTTTTTTCATTGCAAATCAGAGTAAATTATAGTGGAGCAGGAGCCTGACTGAGTGACTTCACTCACACTCACGCTCACGTTCAACACAGACGTAGCTCTTGTGGATTTTCTCACTGCCGTTGACATCCTTGGCTCATTTTTCTTGACATATTTCCATATGAATAATTCCATCATTTGGATTAGTGACAAATAATAACAGGTGTGACACACATACATCATTGTCTCTCTGTTCCAGGAATACACAGATTTTTTTTTTCTTATTTTGGAATGCTGATATATAAAAAAAAAAAAATATATATAAATAAAAATGGGAGAAAACATGCCGATCAACTTGTGTTTTTCCAAGTTGTCTAAAGCTAAGTTTTACACAGAGGAAAGTTGAATAACTCAGGACATGATTAATCATGATTATGGTGATTAATCCACTGCTGCTCTGTGATTAATCAGCTAAAAATCTCATTTGTATGTCAAGGGTCAGCGTAAAATTTGGGGGCTGAGTACTTAAATATATATATATATTAAATAGTAAACCATAAATGGTGGGGATTACTGAAAATAATTTAAGTCTCAGTTGTTGATTTTTCCTGTTTTAATAGCAGGGACCACACAATATTTTTGCTTTAAACTTACGATTTTGGAATCCAGTCGCGGGCCAGACTGGGTGGTCCAGTGGGCCAAATTGGGCCCGCGAACCACCAGTTAATAACCACTGGGATATGTACAAAGATATATGAGCCCTACTCAGCCATTGGTGACCTGCAAGGTCCACATTTAAGTAACATTATCATGTACTGTATGAGACTGTAAGTTTCTCTGCTTTGCTAAATGCTAATATGTAGCTCAGAAAACGTCTGTCCGTCGTCCTAGTAGCACAGAGCGGCCGCCACACGGCTACACAGTCACTCCTTCAGAGTAAAAGGCTGAAGAGTTGTACTGTGATTGTTGTTAAAATGATTGAGTCTCTCCTGGGGGACTCACTGTGTCCATTTCTCAGAGACACACTGCATCATTTGTGAATGCCTGGATCTGCTGGAGCAATTACAGCATTCTTAACCTGCGTTGTAATGTAACGGCCTCTGCTGCAAAAACCTCTTCATCTGGCTCCGCAGATTAGCTTCAGAAGGAAGAGAGCGGCGGGAGAGAGGGGGAGAGCGAGCACTGTGGGCACAGTGACCTAAATATTCCGCCGTATTACCGTACTTTTACTGTACACATTTTCACATATACTACAGTACTACAGAGTTTGATCCTTCAGGCCTAAAGAGCTCAGATTTGGATTTGAAACGTTGAAAGAAGTCATTTTGAAATGTCACAGGATCAGAACGATTGATTTGCTTTTATGCAAAACAAATAGAAAAAGGTATTGTGGATGGTGCCAAGACTCAGGACGACTTGCTGAGTCGTCAGTGTGCACGTATCGGCAGCAACTGTGTGACGTTATTTGGTCAATATGTCCAAGCGACTGTTTCAGCAACACAAGCAGTTTTCAAGACAGCGATTTAGCCTGGTGCTAGCTGGATGAACCTAATCAGGTCAGCAGTAAATGTGGTTGGTTTTTGGAGCTAGTAGATCATTAATCTAATTATTAATTCATCATTAGCACAACACTCATTAACTACATTCTTTTTAAAGATAGCTTATCATGCACTAAATGCACAGCTAACCATCTTAGGGTAGTTTACCTGTTACTGTATTAAACTGAAAAATAAACATCACCTAAATTATTTAAAGACACTGGTTTATGGATAAGTAACAGCTGAGGTTGTTAAAGCCTGTCAGTTTAACACCATATAACACTTGTATGTGTGCTTATCTGTGTTGAAGTCGGCTTCATTTTGGTAAAAGCGCTGATGAGGAAAATGCTCAGCAAAGTCTGCGGCAAACAAAACAAACTATTGCACCAATAGGATGACAAGAAGTCATGTTGTTATATAATGTCACTTTTACAATACAAAGAGCACGACTTTACAGTGATGTGGCTCCATTTCTAAAATAAAAACCGACTTCAACAGATCTGATTTTTATTGAAATGACTCTAAAATGACCAACACATGGCTGTGAATTTCACATTGGCTTCTGTCATTTCTTTAGTTTCAAAATATTAGCCTTAGCTAAGTTGCTCAAAAGGAAAACAAGTGGTGCTTCAAATAAACAGTACACAACTGCAGGAAGCATAACAGTTTGACGTAGACTCTCTCTGTTTGTGCATGTGTGTGTGTGTGTGTGTGTATCCTGGTGATTATACAGTAAATATCTGGTGTTACTCAGAACACAGGTGAAGGAACCGCAGAGGTGAGAACTGCAGGAAACACTGCAACAACTATGATGTTTTCCAGTTTGGACAATCAGAGCCACGATGAGCAGGAGTGCTGACATGACCCACTGACCGTCTGTTCCGTGACTTAACTTGGACACTTTTGAATAGACGTCCGAGGAGCCAGAGTGTTTTTGGAGAAAAATAAAATCCTGTCTATGATTCAGAAATGAGCCTCAGAGGAGAAATCTGACTTTCTCCTCAGTCAGTGACTTCAACATGAAGTGAGCATCAAGGTCCTGGCCCTGCTCTGTTGTTACCCTCACTGCAAAGGTAAAAAAAAAAATTCTGACATCAATGCTCAGTGCTGTGTGTATGACAGCACAGAGACTCAGGTCAGTGGGTGAGACTGACCGGGGTGAGAAGATGAGCTCCTGGAGAGGAACTGGGTCAGTGGGTCAGCAGAACCTGAGCTTATTTCACTTCTGATTCAAGTCACTGCAGCACTTTTACCTCTTCATGTTTAAATACACGAGTGTGTTTTTGTGTGTGTGTGTGTTAAAGTACGTGGTGAGAAGCCGCAGCAGAGGCTTCCCTGCAGCATGTTCTGTCCTGGCGGGCGCTCTCACTGCAGCCTTGATGCTAGAGTCTGAAAACCAGGTCAAGTAAGACCCTTTATCCTGGGAGTGTGTACTGTAGTGCTGAGTATGCATGTACTTTTACATGTGTTTTTTAGATAAACAGCACATGCGAATGAGATCATGTGCATTCCTGTTTTAATAAAAGAAAAATACAACTCGTATTAACCTTAAACCGCTTAAAAAAATCCCTCAGCTGTCACTTTAGGACAGAGGTGAATTCTTGAACCTCTCTTCCTCCGTGTGACTGTGGACTCTGTTCGCTCACGTTGGCAGTTCGTCCAGTTTTATTCCTTGTTGGAAAAGCTCTCACCATGACCATACGGCTCTGTTTGAGTATCAGACCGGACTGTTTTTCCATCACTTCTGACCGTATCTCCAACACTACTGGCTGAAATTCAGTCTTGAATCATTACAGAGCCTCGTAAAACAGAACCCTCCGAACAGTCAGTGAAGTCATTTTCTCCTGGCGTCTTCTTCAGAAAGTCACTGGAATCTAATCAAGTCACAACTGCAACATCTTCATGGTTTTAGTTTTTTCCTGTTGTTTGTTGCAATCCTGTGTTCGAAACAGGCTTCGGTGAAAAGCTGGAAAAATGAAATGATTTTTTTTTATCTTAACATATATCCAGCAGGAA